GGATCATATAACTGGGTCAGATTGGAATTGATGAGCTTATTGAACCAAATGCACATCAACCCATTTGGCTGCTGACCCCACTATTCAGGGGGAAAGACCCTTTTATTTTAGAGTCCCCAAGTGGTGGGGTGCTATCCTGCTCCTCTCTCAGGGGGAGTTCTACCGCAGTAAACATGGAACAGTCTGCCCCTAAATTTGAAAACTACCTTTTGTCCAGCCTGAGTAAGCAGGTGATCGTGTTAGTGCTGCCAGGGTCTGTGAGGATGATGCCCTACATCTGACCAGTGTGGGTGTACATATTTAACCCTCCTGCTGATCATCTCTACTGGGGACATGCCAGTTTGCTGTGCTGGCTGATCCTCAGGGTAGGGCATTGCACGAGAGCCCCTGACACTGTCACCAGCAGCCAGCTCCTCTGGCACCTTCTGCTGTGACACATGCCCTGAGATCTCCTGCAGTGCCCTGCTCCTGGCCCGGGCCTTATGCAAGTGCCAGGGAAGTGCTGACTCCAGAGGTCTGCTGTACTTAACCAGCAAAGCACAAGGGTGCTGGGCTGCAGCTCTGCTTTCCCCACTGGGACAGGGCCTCCTTTCCTCCTGCAGGATGTGCAGGCTGCACAGAGCAGGGATGACTGTGATGCACGACACAACGCAATATAAGGAGAATTAATTTTTCCAGACAACTCTCATTGGTTCAAGGCAATGTTTTTGGAGTCAGGGGTGGGTGACTGCATGTGCAGCTGCTGTTGCTATGCAGCTGCTGAAGGGCCTGGTGCTGATACAGGTGCTGAAGTTTGGTGCTGGTGTACCCAGCACTGAGGGTACCAGTGCTCAGGTTGCAGGTGCCTCTGTGCCACAGAGACAAAAGGAACTTGAGGAGACCAGTAACTCCCCTAAAAGAGTCCCAGAGAGCTGGCACATCTCAAGAGCCAGTGACTCAGGCTGTGTGAGGGATGGGATGGGTGGCACAGCCTGCTAAGGGCCCTGATGAGGAAAAACATGTAATTCTACCCTTTAGACTGTATGGTTTCTGTGTCTGGATAATGAAATTTTTATTGTGACAAAATTGTTCGGGGGACTCAGTGGACAGTTTATCAGCGCTTCCCAGGATGATAAGGTGTGAAATAGGCCAGAGGAGTTTATGTAGAAAGGAAGGCCCTTGTGGGTTGTGCAGGCCACATGGCCAGCTGGCACATTTCTGTGCAAATAGCAGCCCCAGCAGAGAGCTCCATAGCCACAGGAACAAACCCAGGAGGAGCACAAAGGGATGGGTAACCTGAACCCATTGTAAATAGTGCTGGATTACCAGTGAGAGAGCTGGAATGTTGCAATTTATTGGAGTGTGCTTTGAATGAATACTGCAGACACTCAACATTGCTTGAACTATGGATTTTTAAAGCACTTGCTTATGCTCATTCTTACATTATAAATGAAGCAGATCTTTTATTATACAGGGCTATAGAATTTTTAAAATATCTCTTAGTGTAAGAATCATGTAGTCATTTGTGAGTTTTTCAGGTTAAATAGATTGTGGATGTGTTAAACAGAAAATAAACACTGTACTTTTTTGTCAAATACACAGTGACACTTCATTTTCTGGTCTTTGCAAGTGTCATGATGTACTTTGCTGCTGAGATCTGCAGCTGTTCATTTACACGTTAATCTAGTCCACACATGAATGAAGGTAGGAAATTATGGTGGTATTAGTTTCCTTTAGTAAGTGCCTGAAGTGGAAAAAAACCCCCTTAAAATAAGTCTGATTAATATTTATGAGTAACTTGAGACCCCCCCCCAATTAGATGCAGACTTGAACTCCATTAACACTCAGTTCAGTGAGGCCTGGCATTTATGGATATTGAGGTTGCTGACTTAGAATTTCAAGGTCTGTTTTATGGGATATTTGCAGCTCCCACTTGCTAATGAGTATTATGCACACACAGGGATGACTGAACTCTCCAGTGCCTGATAATCACAAATTGCTGGCCTTTCAATTGCCTACTGTAATATATTGCCATAGGTATCATCACCCTGCACATTCAGCTCACAAGCCAGACCACCCAAAAAGATTTGAAAAATAACATTTCTCCAAGTGGACTTTGTTCTTTTAAATTAATTTATTTTCTGAACTGAATTATAACTAGCCTCCAAGTTCAATATTTTGAATTCAAACTCCAGGTCAAATTTGGAAGTGATAGATTTTAATAAGGAATGAATTGACACCACAGATAAAAAAGTTTCTTATGCCTGAGGATTTTGTAATAAAAATATTATGGTTTCTGTGAATATCTGGTTTAAAGTGTAATGGGCAGGAAAAGCAATAAGAAGACTGGGCATTTTTGCCAGTTTTATAGGGTCAGCTATGCTGAAGTGTTATTACAGTTAGGTTATTGCCAGTTTTCTCTGTGTTTCCGTGTGTATATACACACACATATGTAAGTATTTATGCACATGTATAAAAATATATACTGGAAATGGCAACTGCTTTATATAGAGAGACCAGAATTATCAGCTAATATGTCCATTCCCAGATAGCATCATTCCATAGATATGATAATCCAATGATTAACAGTGCTTTGCTGTCTTAAAAATATGGATTCCTTTTGGGCATTAATTAACAGTGATTGCTGTCATTGTCTGATATTATGGAAAGGATATTGCAATAGCAGCATCTGCAAGGCTCTGGGATGCTTTGTTCTTCTTTACTTGCCAGGGCACTGTCATTTATCTTGACTCAAAACAAGCTTAGTTCATTTCTGTCGGGATGTTTTTGGAAAGGTTGCTGGATTATCAATAGTTATTTTAAATGTACATGCCAAAGGGAAAGGAACACAGAGGAAGCAGTAATAAAATAGAGGTTTAAATTCCTTCGTGAATTTTGTTATGAACAGTGAAAGGGCACAGTAGTCAAATCAAATTGATGCCTGACAATCATGGGAGATGTGAGTTTTCCTGTGGGAAGTGATGAGATCTGATTGGCAGAGCTTCAGCTAATGCACAGACCAGAAATATTGCTCTCTCTTTGGACTTGGGTTCTTTTCTCTTGCATGGCCTCTGTGAGTTTTATTCATAGACCTTGGGGAGGACTTGAAAGAGAGACGAGGGAAACAGTCCACTGAGGTTTAGCAGAACAAAAGAAATCCAAATATTCTAAGAGATGGAAATGCAGTAATGAACCCCAATTATCTGTGTGTGCAATATCTATACTGCTACAATTAATAATTTATTGTCCCAATGTCCTGGATTAGAAGATTTTAAAAGATTAGGATTGACTTTCCTCTTTGGGATGCTCTTAGGTATTTTGAAGATTGAGCATTGTGATTTGGGAGAAGACACATTGCCTTTTGCAGATGTAGAGGTTCAATTCGTGCTTCAAGCACAAAATTAAATTCGGAATTAGCTAGAGACTGAATAATCCCTCTTACAAATTTGTGAAATGCCTTTGCTAAAGTGCATCAGAACTTGTCCTTTCTACTTCAGTTTTTCATTCACATTCTCTGAGAAGCAATTTCTCCATCACAGTGTTGTGTTCCATTTCCAATTGGAACTCACATCCAAATTATCTGTGGGCTGCAGCTTTCCTGGTGCCCTGGCACTCTATCCTGCAAAATGCTTTTTCACAGCAGGTCATTGATCTTCTAGTCTAGCTTGAAGGTAGCTGAAATGTCAATATAGCTTCTAGCCATTTTTTTCTGTTCTTTTTTCCCAATGATGTATGAATTATAATAATACTGAAAATGTATTCCCTAATCACTGGCTAAGGATTAGGGATTGGTACCATGGAAATTCTTCCCCCATATTGAAGCCATATCTTAAATTGGAAAATAGACTAAGAAAGCTAATACTGTCCTTTTAATACTGTCCTTTTTGGCCCTCTACATTGCCTGCTGTATTTTCTATAAACAATGAAGTTTATGACATTAAACATTATAAAATAATTACTCAGCTGACTAGATCCCAAGAGAGTAAAAAGACCTGTATGCCCATGCAGTGCTTCAGTAAGAACACCACTAAATGTCTGAAAATTAGTCAATCATGCAAAATAATAATAATAAAAAAAATGTTGGCAGGAACAATTGCAGTTTCTTGCCCACCTCTGTCCATGCTGGCAGTAGCAAGCACTGCTAGGTGACAGTGTCCTTCATCTGAGGCCAAATCTCATCAGTGAAATATGGACTCAAAGTTAAGAGTACACAAGAGAGGCAGGGAGAGGATTTGCTTCCTTAGCTGTAAGGGGAGTGGTTTAATGGCAGTAGGGATGGGGCACAGCCAGAACCAGCAATGCTCCATTTCAGGCACGGGATGAGGCTGTTGGTGTTTATGGTGCTGCCCAGGAAGCTGGAATGGCAGCAGCACAAGGGAATAGATACCAGAGGTAAATGCAGAGACCAGATGTGTCTCTGAAGGAGGGCTTCAGCCATAACACTGCAGTTTATTTACAAAGAAGAAATAATGTCATCACGGATCAGATGGGAAAGAACAAACTTCTCATGGCACACTAAAAGAATTACAAGAATTTGTGAAATTTGTCTTGTGATGTTAAAGGGAAGGGCCAAAGGAAAGGGCCTGAGTGCATCAGGGAGGTACCAAGTACAGGGCAGTGGAGAGGAGGGGGCATGAAAGGGTCTGGTTGGGTGTCAGGATGCTTCTCTGATGAGTTCTCCCTCTGATCAATACAGCCTGTCCCAGCTCTTCACTAACTCACTCCACTCTCTATAATAAGTCCTAATAGTTATAGCAAGCAGAGGAAAGTTCTGTCTAAACCACAGATCCTGCTTTCTAGAGCATCCAGCTTCCCACGTAATTTATGAAATCTGAGGACATCTGAAACTAGGGTGCTGTGAGTTGAAATCTGCTATATTTGCAACTCCTGGCTCGATAAGTCTGCAGTGCTCCACGAATGAAGCATTAAATGGTGCTGTATTTTTAAACTTGCAAAGACTTTTGAATTCTGTGAGCAGTGATTTTTGCATTTTAACTGGTTTGACTCTTTGCTCTCCCTAGGGGAAATGGAAGAGTTAGAAACCCTGTGGCTGACTGGTATTTGTCACAACGAGAAGAACGAAGTCATGAGCAGCCAGCTGGACATCGACAACATGGCAGGAGTGTTCTACATGCTCGCAGCAGCCATGGCACTCAGCTTAATAACCTTTGTCTGGGAGCACTTATTTTACTGGAAACTCAGATTCTGCTTCACTGGAGTCTGCTCAGATAGGCCAGGATTGCTGTTCTCAATCAGCAGGGTCAGTACTGCTTTCATTTATCCCCTTTAGGCAACAGAAGGAATAAACGCTGCCTCCCTAAAATATCATCCTTCCTTTTATTCCAACCTGGACATTTAAAATCCAGGTTAGAGCAGCAGCGTGGTGCTCTGGAGTAGTCAATGGGCTTAAGATGTATTTGCAGTCTTTGGGAAGTCTTAATCCATTGGATTTTTCAGGATATGAATTATTTTATATCAGGATAATCAGTAATTGAATACTGAAAACAAATACAGTAAAGGAAAATTTCAATGAAGAAATTGTAGATGCAGAAAATGTATTTATTTCCACATTAAAAATCCAAAAAAAATAAACCTAATTTGATAAGAGACATTAGCTGTCGGCTTTGTGCATTTCTTAAGCAAGAGAATTTTAATTTATAAAAATACAGTGGAATAGTTTTGTAAGCTTTTTTTGATAAAAAACTTGAATAAACTGTATGAGGAAAGGTCAAACACAGGTATCATTTATGTCTGGTTAGTCACTGAGGCAAATTTTAATGATAACTTTACCAGACCCAGAGGGGATTTACTTATGCAAGAAACTGATACTTGTAAAAAATATGGAAATGTGGCTTATTCTATTATTTTTGACAAATTGGTTGGTTTTTTAAAATATATTTTTAAAACAGATAGAACTTTCATTAGGTAATTGATTTTTCTTGATTTTTTATATAGCTGAGGAGAACTGAAAATGATACTAAAATGGCTAATTGCTTTAAAGTGTGCTGCAATTACCCTGTTGAGTAGATTGGAGCATTTTGGAACTGCATTAAAAATACTCTGCACTACCCTGTTGGGGATTGTCTAGAAACCACATGCACCTTAACCTCCACATTTTATATTTGAACTTTATGTTTCTGGCTTTTTTTATATGAAATTCTCCTAAGAATTGGGGGAAAAGAAGTATTTATACCAAAGGTAAATGTCTGAGAATTGCTAATTCACAGGGTTGGAAATGTCAATTGGGCTCACAGGAGTGACCAAAGAGGTTGAAGTGAGAAAATGGGCTTCAGCCTTTTCCTCACAATTAACTCAGATGCAGCTTTAAAAAGAGCTGGGGTTTTTTGAGATAGGGATCAGAAAAGCTAAAATATGATGGCTAGAAGCCTTTTTATTTCAGTGCAAGTGAAGAATACCTTAATCTCCAATAAAATAGTCCCACTACAGGCTTGTTTAGAGGGGAAACTGAATCACTGGTTTAAAATAAGAGAGTATCTATTACTGAAGGTTAGTTTCATTTTGCGACAAGATTAGGGAAGCCTTTGGGGTGCCTTCTAATCTTGTATTGTGGAATAAGCTGGGGAGGCCAAGACAGACCACTGGTTTGTGAAATACTGGCAGTTTTTCTCCTTTGTAGTTCTAATAGATATAGCAGAAAATATTCCTCCATTTCAATGCAAGGAAATGATAAAAAATTGGAGATGTACTTATAATCTTTCCAGTAATGAGATAAGAAATGTTTAATTTTTCTTTATTGCTAATTAAAACTAAAATAGAAGTTGTGAAAAGTTATACCTAGTGATTTAATTTGCCTTATATTACTCATATTACAGGGTATTTACAGTTGCATTCATGGAGTACACATTGAAGAGAAGAAGAAGTCTCCTGACTTTTCTTTGACCAATTCACAAACCAACATGTTAAAGCTGCTGCGAACAGCGAAAAACATGACCAATATCAACCCTTCAAGAATTGACTCCCCCAAAAGAACAGCTGATTTTATTCAGAGGGGTTCTTTGATTATGGACATGGTCATGGATAAGGGAAACTTGGTATTTTCTGATAACAGATCCTTTCAGACAAAGGACAACTTTTTTGGTGACAACATAAGTGAACTGCAGACACTTCCTGGCAATCGACACAAGGACAACCTGAACAATTATGTTTTTCAAGGGCAGCATCCTCTCACACTGAATGAATCCAATCCAAATACAGTAGAGGTTGCAGTAACAACAGAAGCAAAAGCGAACTCCCGACCCAGGCAGCTTTGGATGAAATCTGTTGAATCTTTACGCCAAGATTCTGTACGTCAGGGCCAAGGTTCCCAGAGGGAAAACGGGTCTGAGGAAAACAGGCAGCTTTCATTGAAAAGCCAAAGATACCTTCCTGAAGAGATTGTTCATTCAGATGTCTCAGAGACATCAAGCAGAGCTACTTGCCACATGGAAGCTGAAAACAACAACAAGCACCACAAAACCAAGGACAATTTTAAAAAAAGGACAGTAGCATCAAAATACCCAAAAGACACTAGTGATGTGGAACTGACATATCTGAAAACCAAACAGGGCTCTCCACGGGATAAAATCTACACGATTGACGCTGACAAGGAGCCAGGATTCCGCTTGGACACACCTCAGTACATCGAAAACATTGTCCTTCCAGAACCTGTAGAGCTTCCTGATGTTTACCAAGATCACAACGACAACTACAGGAAAGCCGAGCATGCCAACAGGACTCCATCACATAATGAAGACAGTCTTCCAAATAATGACCAGTTTAAACTCTATGGAAAGCACTACACTCTCAAAGAAAAAAATACTTCCCTAGGTGACATGAACGATAGGTTCAGGCAGAATTCCACGCACTGCAGGAGCTGTCTCTCCAACATGCCCACCTACGCGGGGCACTACTCGACCAGATCTCCCTATAAATGCGATGCGTGCTTGCGGATGGGGAACCTCTATGACATTGAGGAAGATCAGATGCTGCAGGACACAACGAACTTATCACTTCCTGAAGAAATATATGAGCGTACTTGGTCACAAAGTAGTGCTCTGCAATATTCTAAAAAGAATAAACTGAGGATTAGCAGGCAACACTCTTTTGATAATATCGCTGATAAGTCCAGGGAAATTGATATTGGAAGACCTTCTCGTAGTATAAGCTTGAAAGAAAGAGAGAAATTTCTTCAAAGCAGTCCATATGCAAGCATGTTTAGTGTTCCCTCAAGCAAACTGTTGGGCAACAAGGCCTCACTTTTAACCCATGCTCTGGAGGACAGTAAGAGGAGCAAGTCCCTGTACGCTGTTCACTCGGATGATAACCCTTTCCTGCACTCCTATCGTGATGACCAGCATTTATCTCTTAGGCAAAGTCCAGCTGATCTTTATAAACATTCATTGCCAACAAGAGGAAGAAATGATAATTATTTAAGGTCATCCATACAGTCTACAGCATCATACTCTTCCAGGGATGGTCGGATCCATAATGACATGTACATTTCAGAGCATGTTTTGCCTTACGTTGCAAATAGGAATAGCTTGTACTCAACTCCAAGGTTTTTAAATTCCTGTAGCAATACACGTGTGTATAAGAAAAGGCCTAGCATTGAATCAGATGTTTAAATTTTCCATGAACACTTTATCTATAGGGAAAGAATAGTTGCCACCATCTTAGAGGGAGAATTTTTCCTTTAACAGTATCCTGCTCTGGTAAATGATACGTAAACCTCTCCCTTTCCCAATGTACTTTTGTACATGAATAGGTAAACTGGTATGCTCTGATCTATCCTTTTAAAATATGTCTTGTTAAAAAGGATAAAAATAGCCATTTATGTGTGCTTTATATATAAATGGCAAGTTGTACTGAAATAGCCCCAATATATGTTGGCAACTATGCTGTTTTGTACCTAATTATTTTACTATTTTGGTTATTCTAATTTATGTTGCTAAGTATCATTCAATGTACTTTTGTCCTTAGAAATGTTTAATGATTTTCTAGTACTGGATAAGCAATATGGTATGCATGTAGTATGACACAGACAACAAGAAATAGGGATGCATTTGCACAGATTCAAAAGTAAAAGAGAAAAGAAAGCTAAGACTTCCAAAAATATATTTTAGCTTCATAATCATTTTCAAAGCCAAAAAATTTTAAAAAATCCCCAAACCCCAGGACCTTAATAAATAAAATACAGTGTGTTAGCACAAAAATTAGGATGTTCCTTCTAGACTGACAGACAGTAGATGGGAAGGCAGTAACCCCAAACATGTGAACTGCTGTGTACCAAAAGGAAGCCCCATAGATATTGGTTAATGTTCATGTACAAATGCTTTTCTTATATTGCACATGCACTTACCATTACAAAGTAAGTTCATTTAAAAGTTTGCATTAATCTTGTCAGAAATTTCACAGCTGCCTAATCCAGAGTATATATTTTTAGATATCACTATATGGCACTTACTATGGAGCTGTGGACTTTATTAGTAACCTTGAGGCCTAATGTGTACGTAAGTTTGCATTTGCCCCTTACTGGTGATTACTCAGGGCTGTATAGTATTTCTTTTATTCTTTCACTTCCCAAACCAAATCCCAACCCACTGTAGTTCTTTGTTCATAGTGTATTAGTGACAACTAATTAATTGTATATTAATAGTACTAAAGCTGTTAATACAGTATCAAACACCGACAGCCATAAGTTCAGTGTGGTCAGTGAGGAGTGTGGTACCATTTATTTCCATACACAGAGAAGGATTAACACCTTTGAAAGGACTTCTTCCTTCCACAATATTGTGCATATTTGTTGAACATCAGACCATTTTTCTAACCTCTCCAACCAAGTCTGTTGTATAAAATGAATATATGCACATGTAACTAAGAAACAGTAACTTTATTATCACTTACTGATACGCAAAGGTATTCACATAACAGGGATGGATTGTTATATGACTTTTCCTTCTATAGATGTCAGATTATTTCACAAATAAAATGTCTGCTACACACCCCCCCATACCCTCACTGGAATAGAAAAACCCCACTAGATTTTAACCATAAGGGAGCATGAAAGGGAAGAGACGAAGCCTTTCAGGAGAAGAGTGTACAGCTGCAAATTTAATTTCAACTAAAGAAGTAAATACAATTATTAATACATTTAACTACTGAAAGTGTTCCAGAGGCGGTGCTCTCCCATTTTCCTGCTACTCTGAGAATTGCTTTAGGATTTTTGTGTAGACAAAATTTAGATTATTCAAGCATTATTCCCTCCATTTCACTGACGAACGGTGAGCAGGGAAACCATTACCACTGTGAATTGGAAAATGTGAATATTATCCTAACTTTTCTCTAAACTGAAACTCTTTTTAGCAGAATCGTGCCTGTCAGCTGTAATTGAAGCATCTGCATGCCAGAGGTGCAGTATGCAAGGTGTTTAATTTAGAACAGCATACTGCAGAGCAGAGTGCAAATGGGAGATAATATAAATGGGAGATGTGTAGGGATAGTCAAAATAAAGTTTCTTGAATTTTGTTTACAGATTTTTTTTTTTTATTAAACAGATTTAAACTGACTTTGGCTATCAAAGTCCAGAATGAGTTCTTGGTATTTGCAAATGAATTTGTACCTTCACCATGATGGTGAAGGATGATATTTTTAAAGGAATGAAATGTAATCAGATTTGGGCTTCCAAGTCTCTTTCCAGCTTCCAAAAATCTCAGTATACTTTATTATAAGTATGATCAGAAAGCATATCTATGGGTATCTCTATGCTGTTCAGGTAAAAATATGTTTTGGGTATTTATTCAACATTTGGTCATACTTATTGGCCCTGATTCACATGGGATGCTTTCTGATTCCTCACTGGAGGGAGTTTTTATAAACGGAAGTTCCTTACCTACCCTTAGAGAGACTTCTTAGGAAGAGTTGTGTGAGCTAACCTAAGGGATTAGGATGTCTATGGGATGAACACTTGTCATGAACCCAAACTTTTTCCCAAAGACACAATTATGCTTTGCTCTTATGTCTGCAGGAAGGCAAATGCACTGAAGGCATAATGTTGTAATGACTATAATAAAAATATTTCAGCCAAATTTTAATATCCAGTCCAAATCATGGTATATTAACCAAAATCCAAAGTGTTTTGAACTATCTAGTGTGTATCAGCAGATATGATATTTGCTGATGTCGTGCCAAATCCTGCCATGGAAGTTGCTGAGCATATTACCCAGTAAATCATGAAACTCAGTGGTGGCTCTTGTCTTTCACATCATCATTAAGCTCTCAAGTATTTGTTGATTGCTCCAAGTCTTTTGTATCATCATCTCTATCTAACCAGACACACATTATATTCAATATTTATACGAGTACTGTATGGGAAGCTGTGGGAAAGAAAAATTCCCATTTACATTTTCTCTCTTGAGATTCACTTGTAAATATCCTCAACCCAGGTGGATTTATCTTTCTGTGAAGTGTACAAGCAAATTAGCTACAACAAAATTTATTGCAGTGTTTGCTTTTTCTGATTTGAGCAGATTTCTGGTGACTGTAGAGATTTATTATTATTATCTGCAATATGCAATACAACCACCTGCCCTAAACCAAAATAACGAGACTGAGGGAAGACTTGATAATGTTGCACAGCAGTTGTTCACATGGAAATGTAAGATGCTGCCTTAAAGAGGGAAAAACCCCACCAGATACTGAAAGTAGAGGGAGTCAGAGTCTGCATGCTTTCGTTGTTTTGATCTTGGCATAAATCTGAGTTGATGAAGGGGGAAGGAGAGCTGAGGCAGGGCTGAGGGCAGTACCGGTGTGCTTGCAGATGTGCTCATGTAAAGAAGAAGCAGCTGAGAAGTTGAAGAAAAATCTTCAACAGAGCCACAAGCCACAGCTTGTGAGGCTCAGCCTAGAGCGCGTGGAATTCTGAGTTTTGCCTGAGCTTTGTTGATATATTTGCACTGACTTTCAATTAAACCGAGATCAAGACTTTCTGTATTTCCCTCTCTCTCACTCTAGCTGCTGCTATACTTGAAGAGGAGAAAAGAATCTTCCTGCATAAGTGGCCATCCTTTCTGTACCTTTCTGGATGGTGCTGGTGACTTGTTACATTTTCCTGATTACAGCTCTAGCAGTTTGTTGGTCATTCCTATCACCACGATTTCCTGTGACTCCAGCTGGAACTGAATCAGGCTGTAAATGATTTGGGCCATTCTTGGTAGCATGTCCTGTAGTGTTACGATGCTCCTGGACGACACCTATTGTGGAGGCAGGATATTGAATTGCTGAGGAATGCAGTAGGTACATGGAGGTAAAAACAGATATGTAGACATACCTGCCTCTTGCTTTTTTTCCTCTTTTAAAGATATTGTAGAATTTCTTCATGTTTTTGTCTTTCCCTTTTCACCACAGTAAATTTTCCTTTTTTCTCTCAGATAGATTTTGTGTTCTGCTTGTGTTTCTTAGAACAGTGTAGTCACCCACTAATTTAAAAGCATGGAAATAAGATATTTTATATATAAGATAAAATAAGGGAAAATTAAGAGATTTTGCATTTCTGGAAAATTTACTTTAATGTTTTTGCAGCTTTTGCTCAGAACTCATTACTCTGCTATCTAAGAAGCTTGGTTAGGAAAAAAAAGAGTGCTGTGGACAAACAGAAATCAAATCACCGCCAGCTCACTGTGTTTTGGCAGCATCTCATAAATACATGTCTCTTTATGGTCTTTCAGGAACATTTAAGAGGTGAAATAAGGCTCACAAGAGAAATCAGGTGTGGTTGTTTGTTTTTTTTTCCTGATGAAAGCAAATATTTTTATATAGTTTTAAAGGAAGCAAAGGCTAGAGCTGTGAGAGTAGCTTTGGGTTTCTGCACTGGAAAGCTGAGCTCTGTTAGCAGTGGGGAGAGAGAGAAAGCAAGAGAAAAAAATGTCCCTGTGGTTGGAAGTTCAGAGGACTGAAGGCTCTGGAGCACTTATGTGGGGGATGTGTCCAGAAATATATTACCTCTCTGTTGACTTTTTAGAAAGTATAGGCTCCTAACTCATATAGCTCATTTAGGTGGGCTTAGAAAAGCAATGCTCTATTTACCCCCAGCGTCAAAAATCTGCCAGTGAGTACCAGGTTCAGCCCTGGAGGTGTTATAGGTTCCTGTGCTCATGAAAATAGGGTTTTTGTTGGGGTTTGCAACACCTCCTGCATAGTTGGGATAATAATTTGCTTTATACCATGTGACTACCCAGCAAGGGAGAAAAGTGTCAGAATCTAATCCTTGTGTAATAAGTTGCTACTTTCATATTTCTGCAGTGTACCATTTGCACCTTAGAGGTGGGGAAGGTTTTGGTACTGTTCCCTCGCTTGCTGGGTTTATCAATGTAGAATGGATATTGTGTCACAAATCTAAGGGTCTGAGAATCTGCCTGGATTTAGGAAGAATTCAAGAGGTGAAATTTTTTTGTTATTTTACATTGCATTTAAGATATTTGATATATAAAACCTAGTGAAAACAGAACTTTTATGAAAAAAAATCCTCTCCTACTTAATATAAAACAATAACTATCCTGTGGCTTGGCTAGATTGTGTCAAGTGTTAATCATCACATTCTGTGCTTCTTTCAAGATGAGTGTCATACATTCCCTTCTTCCCCAGCTCTGGTCCTATCTTAGCCCAAAATTCCTTTTAAAGCAGATACCTTTCCTGAGTAGGACAGTCTGGTTTGCAACATAAAAACAGTTTTCCAGGGATAGTCTTAAATTATTTTCTCAGCAGTGATTTCTTTTTTTTTTTTTTTACTAATATAAACTTCCTTTTTATTGAGAGCTGAGCCTTCCAAACTTAGCAGTACTGAAGGAACTTCTGAAAGAACATAAAGGCCTTTCAAAATGGGACTTATGATACAAGCCATTTCCCTGCCCAAACTCACCTGTACTGTCTTATTTAAATGTACTGGCAGCATGTCAGCATTTGAGGGAGCTCAGTTTAATCACAGCTCTGTATTCCTTTGTGATGTGGGTAAAGCACAGACAGGAACGTGGTGTGATGGAAGAAAGGCTCGATGTGCTGTGGCTGGGGTCACCTGTGAAGCTGTGGTTAAATGGGAGTAGCCTCAGGACTGTGCTGTCTCTTCCATGTTTCTGGCCATGCAGAGTGTCTGTCTGTGTGCCCATCCTGTCCCTGGTGTGAAGCTCTGTCCAGTTCCTCACTGTCCTTGTGGAGCTGCCCCATGCTCGCCCATTCCCGTGTCGCAGCGGTGTCTGTCAGAGGGGAGGTGGCTGCTTGTGCTCTCAAGGGAGATGCAATCCTGCCCTGCTTCTCCCTGCCCTGCTGGGGAGGGTTCCTGCACTCTCTGTAAATAAGCTCTTCATTTATTTCCCTCACTCAAGCTTTAACTTTTTTTTCCCCCTGCTTCTCTCGACCTGTGTACAGAGAATGCGCTCTAAAAATATGTGCTCTTCCAAAGTGCTGTGGCTTTGGAAGCCAGGAATACAGGTGTGCATCACCCTGCAATGCAGTGAAAATGCACTTGGTTCTCCTCGTGGGATCATCAGCTTTTTTGTTCCATACTGCAGAATGTATCTGCCATGGTTTAAACTGTTCTTTTAAAAAAAAAAAATCTGCCATTCTAACAGCTGTAAGAATCCACTGCTGATTTTGTGATGATTTTGTCATATCTATAATTTAAGAACCAGAAATAATATAAGTAAAAATAAGTTACCTCACTGTTTACCAGGTTTTTGTTGTTTTGCGCTTAAATGACAATTTTTACTCCTTTTGCTTAATTCTTTACCTGTATTGGAAACAAGGCTAAATTAGTAGAGCATATAGCCATGCTGTAACATTGTCATGCAATACCTTTATTAATAGATAACCACACTAAATATAGTATTACATATTTAAAAGAGATGGGTTCGACTCTCCAACTCTTAAAAAGTAGTGGTGATAAGCAGTTATACTACTAGATGTTTTGTCCTTTCCCTTTTGTATTAGTATTTGTTTTCACTAATATATTTCAAAAATTATATTTCTGTGCACGTTAGAAAACTGTGAAAATAAATACCAATAAATATTGTGATACTTATTCAGTGCACTGTAAAGTTCCAAGTGAGATGGTACTTTGCTTCTGGGAATTGATGAAAGTTTCCTCACTTCTCAGAAATGGTACTAAGCTTTAATGTGGGAAAATGGTAATATTTACAGTGACATGAAATTTTAATGGAGAATGTCTTGTTTTGCACTTCTGGTACTATTAGAAGAAATGATATGTTTTTCTCAGCAAATGCATTATGAGATTACATTTTTAAATTTGTTTTGTGCATTGCAGTACATAAGAATAACCACTTTGAAGAGATTTGTGTTACTTCATTACTACAGCATTTTTTTGTCTGATAATGTTTTTTCCTGAGCCCGTTGAATAATGGTGTTTAATGGCAAAAACCTTTTTGGGAATGTATTTTGGCTTCTGTCTCACATTGCAAGCCCTGAACTTGGACTCAGTGATGCAGTGGAAGGCCCTGGTGAGGCTGCTCTGCCTTTCTGCGCTCCTGGGGACGGGGACCTTCCTTGTTCCCAACTGGGACCAGATTAGAGGAGTCCAGGACACTTTTGGAGGATGTGCTGTGCAACAATGCAAGTGTAAATGATCTTCAAAAGTGAAAATAAAAAGAAATTGGAGGCTCACAGTTAGCCACACTAATTGGGGGGGGGGGGTGGTTTGTGACAGGGGTCTGCAGTTTCTGGAGGAGATGATAATTTTTAACTAAAGTAATTTGAATTCTACT